ATTGAAGAATCAATAGTTGTGAACCCGTACCATAATATTTAAGTTTTTCAGTCAATGAACTTCCATTGTTCGTAGTATTGTAGTCTTCAAAAGTAATATAGTAATCTGAAGTACACATCGCTTGATTGATGATGGTAATCGAATAATTGAGCCAGGCATAGATTGTACCACAGATCAATGCCGAAATTGTATCGAGATAGACTGTAGCCAATAATGGATAATAACGAAAACCTATGATTAATACTTCCAGAACACGATCAAGATATTGAAGAATAATGCCTTCTTTATTGGATGATGAATAATTATTGAAAAAATTTCTTACAATACCAAAAAGTTCATCTGCACAAATGGCAAATATTATGGCTGCAAATTTTCGATCGATATGTGAAAGAAAATCGACTGGAATTGGTGGTGCAACATAGCCATGACATTTATTTCGTAGTAATGAAGTTCGTTTTGTTATTACAATACAGATAACAATGATGAAACAAGATACAGGAAAAACTAGAACATTAAATATTTCCATATTCATAATATGACAGATAGAACTGGGTATGTAGTAAAGTGGTAAATCATGTTTATATCGATAGACAATGGTATCATGAATCGGCTTTAAAATAGACCACTTGACAACAAGAGCCAATGCAGCTAGAATAAATGTCAGCAGAAAGATAATGCATGGTCGTAGACGAATTGATTGCTTGATATTTTTCATAGCTATTATTAATTCGGACATTTTTGAAACTTTAGACTTTGATCTATAATACACACACTAAGAACATGACAAAGATGAACGAAACGATAAAATAAACTATTCACTTTATCTTTTCATTACGGTTTAACTTTTTTGTTATCTGACGAATGTAGTAGAACATGTTCAAACCGTAGAACACAACAAGGAATATACTCAATATACATCCAAGTATAATAACTTGTTTTCCACTATTAGTCTCTAAACCAAAAAGAAAAATAAACTTGGTTTTATCATAAAATAAATAGCTAACGGACATACGCTGATCGCACAATGTACCATTCCACCAAAATTTACATTGACAACTCCATTGACCATCTGTATTATCAATACAGTATCCATTCGAACCGCATGGATCATATGTCGAACAATCTGAACTGGGTTTTTGGTAAATGATAAAAGAAACGTTTTCAGTGGAACTACTTACTCTGCTGATCATTGTTAATCGCTTTCATCATTAAAAAACTGTAAATGTCAATATATCAACGATTCCTCTTGTTACCTAATCAATATTTGAAGAAAAGAGCAAAGACAGTCGATGCTTGATTCATACACTTGTCAGTGCTGTATTAACAATAACTATTTGCTCACTACCCCTCTTATTTATTTCGGCTGTTCTTTTTTTTCTTTTATTTCATGATTGTTAGTTTTCTTTTGTTATCTCTGCCGCTCAAATACAAAATAACAATATATATTAAATGTTTCTATTCAATTTTCTTCATTACGATATACTACTACGAGAAGTCGATGAAAGAAAAGATTGTTGATATTGCCTGATGATAGATGTTTTGATGACATTGGCAGGGCTGTGAGGGTTACCGTAGATAGATTCAAGCGGGATGTCATGAAAATAAAATGTCACATGTTCTCTATTGAAAACAACAGAATTCAGCACACTATATGTAATTTTATCAGGAATTTATACGGTCAGGCTCTGATGCTTGTGAGTAAAGACCATCGAAACTGACCTGGATTTCGAAGTTTTCGGAAACAAGGTCATTCCATGAAAAATAATAACAACTTTGTTTTTACATAAATAGATTATAACAATTTTGTTTCCAAAACATGAATATCATAATGTCCATATGGACAAAGCAACATGACAATATTATTAATAGCTTCATTTCTTTGAAATAAATAGAAAATAAGAAATTATCAAACTACAATAACCAATATTTCAAGAAAATTTTTTGCAATTTCAGGACCGACACTGCAAAGACTTCACTTTCATAATCTTTTACTTCTGAATTATATAATAGAGATTGCTTAACACTATGTTATGTCTATATAAAAGACTATAGAAGTTATAGTTAGCTGCAAAGTATTTTAATCTTCTTTGCATCAGTATTGACTAATGTAAACTTTCCAGTAGTAAAAATTCTACTAAATCCACGATCGGATGTGGTAAGCCATGTGAATGAAGAGAGGACTAACACACTCAAAATACTAAATGAGAAAAATAATCTTCATGTGTATTTGCATTTTCTATTCAATCGTAATACATCCCTGTCCTAAAATCGAACTCCTACGGTATGCTAATAGCAAGAATTTTTTTTGCTAAAATCAATAAACTTCGCAGTAATTGTTGACCACACTACCAAAATCATAGTGTAACATTAGTAGATAATTTTCGATATTATTTTGTTTCATTCACTAAGCTGAATGTTGACGCTTTTGTTTGTTATTTTTCGTGTTGCTGGATATGGATCGCTTTCCAGTTATACAAAACATATCAAAAAAAAAAATCTTGAACTGTACCCTTAAGCAGTTAGCACTCATTGATCTTTACTAACTATACCTTTCTTGCGTTTTGTTTTGTAAAAGTGAAAGATCAGATTCTTCGCGGCTCGCATGTTGGCTCTAATAACATTCATTCTGCAGAGCACATCGAACTATTCATACTCATTATTATAGATACAACGACGATTTCTCAATTGCATCGTTGACGTATGTATATGCACTGCCATTGCCACATGATGGATATGCCCAGAGAAATTTATTTGATTGTCTTATTTTATAGTTTTTGTAAGTATGAATGTGTATAAAGTTATCATATTGATTTCGTTTTTTATTGTGACAAAACGCAGTGAATTATTGATGATAAGCAAGAATGAATAGCTATTACGATAGAAAAGAAGAAACAAATATAGATTGTGTTTAAGTATTAGATAATAGGTACCATCTTTATGACAACACCTTAAACTGAACCTAGCTGGTATTATAACAGGAGATTAGTATTGATGGTGTTTATAATTTTCGTGGTATTGTCTGATTTTTACATCATTTTTAGGTTTTCAGATGTTTATTTTTTTTTGTTTGAAGTTGTAATAAAAGCATTAATTGTTGGTCCTATATTACTGCAAATCAATAGTGCACTAATGAAAAGAGATGAATTTTATCGATCAAGACAATTACAGTTTGAAAATTTATATGAATTTGAGAAATCTACTGATTAACAATACTATTCTGGTAAGGTGAAAATCGATATTGAATTGTTGTCAATAATAGTAAAACACTGTATCAAATAAATCACAATGATTGGTTCAAGATCTTTACCTTTGACATCAATTCTACTTTTACATGAAAATGACTCGTTGGAAAAAATAATCAATATAGATTATAACGATCAAGCAATCGAATTGGGAAAATGTCTTATTGTGCACAATACGTTAAATGATAAAATGGAGTTTATCGAATGTTTTACTAAGCAATTAACTATGGCACGAATTCAAGACCGTCAAGTTCTATTTCTAGCTATCATAGTAGAACATGACCGACAATCTAAAATCTGAAACAGTTATATGAAGTTATGTCTGATGATATACTTCTTGTGATACATACAGATCAGGGTTGAAAAGAGATTATGTATACTCTGATAGACATGAATGACGTGAGCGAAATTGGTTTTAACAAATCTTAAAATTGACTTGTTATGAAAGCAAAAATTTGACAATAGCGAAACTAATGGCAGAAAAATAAGAATAGGAAGTTATTATTCGACACAATCAACCATCAGTTGACTGCACATGCAAACATTTTAGAACTATGAAATAAAGAAGACTAGCTCTGTATTTAAAAGCATTTCATCCATAGTATAAAAAACGTATAGTGACATCGCGAATATTCAAATGATCAAATTATATTGTTTCTTTCCATGAGCTTTTGAAATTAAATTACTCAACTTCAATGACAAGACCTCTGTATGTGTCCAATGTTTTGTCATTGAAAATGTCTTGCTATGGTCTAATCATTACTATCAAAAATAATCTTCCTTGCTATCAAATTGTTATTGGTGTAAGAATCAATCAATGTGTTCGTGTTTGTATTTAAAATCGATGTGAATGTTAAAGTATTGGCGTTTGCATAGATAGAGAGAAATTAAAGACCTACAACAGCATTCATATTCTATATACTAATTTCAATCTTTCTGCTTCGTTTCAAATTGTGTCGTGTTTGATTTTACAGGTAAAATGAAAGTTACGTCTCTAAAAGCAAATTTCTCTCATGCAAAAAACTTTTTGTTTAATCGTTTTTTCTTGTTGACATCGAGGTTTCGTTTGATCGAATCGTATTGTTTTTGAATGACGTACAGAAATTGTTTTTAACAGGGACAGTACATTTTACATTGCTTGCAACAATAACCAAATGAATGATTTGAGAAAGAAGATTGTTAGGAATAATATCTAGTCAACTTTTCAAAATAGTATGCTCTCACTCGTAGCAATGTTCAAATAGAAAAAAAAAACTCATCATTTTCGATATGCCCTCTACATTTATGGTCGTATTACTAATAAAATGATTTTATAAGTAATGAATCGTCATCAAATTCTATATTTCATTAAAAAAAAGCTATAAATGTAGAGAAAATAATAAAAAAAAAAAAGTAAAAATTCAGAGATAATTTTGATTTTCAACTATGAAACGTCTACTGAAAAGCTATAGTATGCCTATCGACACTTCTCAAAAATCTCAACACGTACGTTTTTTGTCTACAGTTTTTGTCATTTTCTCGATATTTTTGATTCCACAAACACCATTTAAGACTTCGAAAATCAACAGTTATGTTCCCCAACTAATAAAAACCTCATTTATATTAAGACATATAATATAAACCATAAATGTATAAATTGATTAATATAAATGTGGAATTCGCTGGCTATAGGAAGTTATTGTTCTCATTATATGCACATTCACAGCCGTTTTTTGCCAAATTCTTCTACATCTATGGCAGAAAAGTCTTCATATATGACTAACTAACTGTATATTTTTGCTTATCATTTTCTAAGTTTATGGTTTCCACTGCTAAATACACAGTATTATGATCATTTGTTGCTTAATCCTACCTAATTTTATCCATAAATCATAAATGTAGAGAGGTTATAAAAAAATAGTGTTTTTTTTTTTTGACGAACATTTCTTCTCACTCGATCTATGAATCGTTGATTATAAAAATTGTTTTTCAATGAAAATTCACCGTTTCAAGTATCATTTGTTATTTGCCTGAGATCTGTTCGAATTCCATGGAATTAAATAAGACTTATTTATCTTTGACAAATAAACTGTATGATAATTAACCAGCTTTCATCATGTAAACAGTTCGTTATGTTGCTGTAGAAGATTTTTCTATTTCTGATGTTGCGCCCATACTGTTCCAGATCTTTCCTGCCTTTTAATTTTAGAAACAATGGCACGTATATTAACATTCATCTGGTTTTGGAGTTTAACTATCTTGCCATTTACCGCTATTTTTACATTTATAACGACTTTAATCGTGTATAGTCAAGTTCAAAAAAATCTGTGGTCAAGATATAAGTTTCCTCAGATATCTCAACTTGGTATTGATCGTGCTTACTATTATTTTGTGTCCGGCTTTGTTCTATTGTTTCTACAATTATCCGTTGTTCTCATCGGCCGAATTCAATTTTTAATCCAATCTCAAACGATTTTTTAGTCGCAAACAAATCTATTTCATTCATGCAAATGCA